GATTTTCTTTGATTTTTGCAGAGAAAATCAAAGAAAATCAAAGCCCCATGCAACCGAAATAAAACGGATTACATGCATGAGGAGAAACACATGTTTTAGGTGCATCCAGAACCAAAATCATGTCCGGATGCACTTAGGAGTTGGCCGTTTCTTTTTCTTTTGAGTAGGGGCTAGTTGTAGGGCATTGGGGTTGGGAAAGTGACCCCTATTGCAGTCCGAGTTACAACGGACTGCATAGGGGAAGGAAAACACATGTTTTAAGTGCATCTGGGGCCAATATTCAGCCCGGATGCACTTAGAAATCAAACGCTTTATTTTCTTTTAGCATGGGGCAAGTTGTGGGGCTGTGGGTCTAGAAAAACAACCATGAATGCAGTCCGAGTTGCAACTGACTGCATGGGGGTGCCTAGGCTAAGGGAAAATGAGCCACGGCAAGCCCGGAAGGCTAGAAAGAAGCAATTTCGACATGGGGCAAGTAAAGACGGTAAACGACAACCGTGAGATGAGATCTCACGGCCTAGAAAAATCGGCACGCGCGTAGAGATGATGGGACCACCAAGGGCAAAGGGCCCCAAAAATAAAAATGGGACACCATCCGGAACGTTGGCGGGGACCAAGTGGGCCCAAATAATAAAAATCGAAAAACGGGACACGCGCCGGCGGGACCGCCGACGGGCCAATAAAATGGAACTAGTATGGAGGAGAGTGGCGGGGACTTGGGATGTCCCAAGGGAACCATGAGCAAGCACAAAGAACCATTGTGCAAGCAAACGGCACCGTCAAGATCAAGGATCTAGACGGTGGAAAATATTAGCACCACTACTGCAAAGATCTAGTGGGGGCAAGTGAGAGGGTCATAGGGTGAGAGGAAAGTAAAATAATAATGAGAGGATGACAGCCCATTTCGGACTAGCTAGGCATGAGAAAATAGAGCCTTGAGAGGCCCAACATGAGAAAAGGGTTGTCCTTAGAAAATCGGGAGTAAAAGGGGCTCAAAATTGGACAAACGGAGGGAAAATGGAACCCTCTAGGAGCATGGGGATGCCATGGTTGGAATCCGAGATATAACAGCCAAGTACGAACCATGAACTTGGCCTTGAATGAGGTCCTAGGGCCTAGAAATAGGGTGCACAAAGACACTTTTCACAACTGAAATTAAACAAAAAGAAAGAAAAATAAGAGAGAAATGAGGGAGAATGAGACAAAAAGGGAGAAAAGAGTGGAGGAGAGTGTGCCGGCCTATTGGGACCTGCGCAATAGGGTTTCGCAGGTCCCAACTGTGACCTCATCCCTCCTAGAATGGGGGAGGGCAATCCGGATTGCAGAAATATGGCCCCTAGGGCCATATCTCAATAAAATCTGAATTAAAAAGCAGAAAATGAGAGAAAATGCAAAAAGGAAATGACCGGTTTTCTTTTGGACCATGGATCTGAGATCAGATCTCATGGTGGAGGAGAACTAGCCATTTTTTGTGGGCCAGCTCAAAACGGCTAGCTCCGGAATGAGGTGGCAGCCCAAAATGAAAAGAAACAAAAGAGGGAAAATGACGAAACAGTGCATTTGGCCCAAAACGAGAGCCAGATGCACCAAAAGTTGAAAAATTGGACTTAGGGGCTCAAAACTGAAGCAAGGGCTACTAGGGGGTAGCACGGATTATTGCTGGCCTTGGATCTCAGCCAGATCCAAGGCTGAAAATGTGCCGCCACTTGGAAAAATGCTCCGGCCTACCCAAGGGAGGCCGAAACTTGAAAAAATCGAGAAAAAGGCTCATAAGGCCTTTTTCTTTCAAGTAAAATTGCCCCTTGGGCATTAGGACCCAAGGGGGCAGCATTTGTGAGGTAGAAAGGAAGCCGGAGTAGGCCAAGAGGCAATCCGAGTTGGTACCAACCACTCGGACTGCATGTACTTGACCAAAAAGAGGCCCGGGTACCTCCAGAAAGGCCTAGTGGTGGAATTTTGCCTTGGGGGTACCTCGGTTCACCTCAAGGCTCATGGGGAGGCCCATGGGCTGACCGGACTGTTGGTTTCAGCCTACATAAGCTGGGAATTCAGTCCGCCACTTTCACAATTGCATGAGGAGTTCCCATGCTGCCCAAGTGAGCTCATGAGAACACTCTTTCACTTGGACAGAGGAGAGGAGAGCCCATGCTAGTTTGGTAGCTTGGTGGAGGCCATGAGCTAGGGAGAGGAGCTCTAGAGACTAAAGGTAGTGAGATTGGCATTAGGGGAGGTGATCCGCTGTAGCCCCCTGGGTGTGAGGAAGAGAGAGAGGCCAGAGGGAGTCCCATTAGCCCTCCTAGAGGGAAGGACTCCATAGCTATGGTGATGGGAGCTTGGGGGAATTTGGGGAAAGGTGAGAGAGGAAGGAGAGAGACTTGAAGAAGGAGGGAGCCATAGCCAAGGAAGAGTTGTGCAAGGAGGAGGAAGCCTCATTAAGAATTGAGACTCCATCTCCAAGACATTGACAAGGTGAGTGGAAGGAAGAAGATGCATCCTCTTCTTCATCTTCTTCTTCTTCTTCTTCTTCTTCCTCCTCTTCCCCTTATCCTCCTCCTCCTTGTTCTTCCTCCTCTTCTCCTTATTCTTCATCTTCTTCTTCTTCTCCTTCTTCTTCTTCATCTTCTTCTTCTTATTGGGATAATCAAACTTTTGTTTTTCATTCACATACTAGTAGGTAGAGCTCCAATTCTTCTGTGGATGATTTCTTGTTGGTTACTTATGATTTGGGCTTCTCAAACTCTTGGTTTTCATTCACATACTAGTAGGTAGTGCTCCGATTCTTCTATGGATGATCTCATGTTGATTACTTATGATTTGGGCTTTCAAACTCTTGTTTTTCATTCACATACTAGTAGGAAGTGCTCCGATTCTTCTAGGGATGATCTCATGTTGTTTACTTATGATTTGGGTTTTTCTCNTTATGATTTGGG